CTGTGTAGACAAGACTGAGCTAATTGGATCAATGGTCTGACTTGGTACATTAAGGCAGCTCCCTATGTTCTTGTCTCTCCCCACACTCCAGTGAACATCCTTTTACCCATTAAATTGTAATGCATGATGCAGTGTGTGTATATACATAAATAAAAAAATAGGAGATGGTTTAGGGCTCAGGAGTAAACCACATGCTTTGCTTGCAGAAGGTCCCGGGTTCAATCCCTGCAATAGCACCAGGGATATCCCTTGTCACACTCCCCCAATTGCTTCCCTTCCTGGAATGCTGCGAGAACAAAGCTCTGTCATGTTGCATCATGTCACTTCTAAGGCATTCTGGAAAGTGAGGCCAGCAGGAAGCTGTGAAGAGAGCCTCAAGCCACTTCCTGCCTGCTGCTCTTCCTGGAACGCCTCGGGAGTGACACAATGCAATGTGATGTGACATTGCATCACTTCCAAGGTGTTCAGGAAGTGCAGCTGATGGGAGCCTGCAGAGAGAAACTTGCACTGTCATGGCACAACAGCTAGAAGCCAGTACTGCTGCCTTCATGGTTGGAGGCACTGATGCCTCTAACACCAGCGGTTGGAAAATGCAGGTCAGAAGAGTGCTCTTGTACTTGGGTGCTGCTTGTCAGTTTCTTACAGGGTTGGCCACTGTGAGAACAGACACTGGACTAGATGGGCCATTGGCTTGACTCAGCAGGCTCTTCTTATATTCTTATATGGGTGGTGAGGATCTCCCCACCTGCCAAACAAAATTTCTCTCTCCAGCTCCCCACACTGCTCCACAATCTTTCAAGATGTGGGTGGGTGACTTCAGTTGCTCCCACCCAACAAATAATGTGCTTCAGCTCTCTTCTGTAGTTCACACAGCTCACCACATGGGGCAGCATCACACAGATCTACAGGCTGGTGTGGTTTCCATGTCCCAGAAGTTCCCTGAAGGTAAGGTAAAGGTAAAGGGACCCCTGACCATTAGGTCCAGTCGTGACCGACTCTTGGGTTGCGGCGCTCATCTCGCTTCATTGGCCGAGGGAGCCGACGTATAGCTTGTGGCCAGCATGACTAAGCCGCTTCTGGCGAACCACAGCAGCGCACGGAAACGCCGTTTACCTTCCCACTGGAGTGGTACCTTTTTATGTACTTGCACTTTGACGTGCTTTCGAACTGCTAGGTTGGCAGGAGCAGGGAGTGAGCAATGGGAGCTTACCCCGTCGCGGGGATTCTAACCGCCGACCTTCTGATCAGCAAGTCCTAGGCTCTGTGGTTTAACCCACAGTGCCACCCACATCCCATCACTGAAGGTAGCTTTTCCCTTTGGAGACAATGCAAGCTGGCTCCTTTCCTGTTTACATTCCACCACCACTACCACCACCCCACTGCCCACCCAGCTATTGATGCAAGCAGCCATTTGCACACTGAAAAGCAACTGCACAATTTTGCTTCTGCTGCAGGCTGTGAGGAACAGCAGGGATTCTGTTTTTCTTGGCAGGTCATAGAGTTGAGAGAGAGAGAGAGAGGCTCCCACAAACACCAATGGCTAGTCCTCAAAGGGAAGAGCAGGTTGGCATCCTCCCTAGAGAGGGTCCCCCTGGGTATGCTGTTAAATGAGGGACAAGCTTAGCAGAGGAACAAGCCCTGTGGCACAGAATGTTGCATGCATGGAGGTTATGCCTCAGAGTTTAAGAGCAACGAAGATGGCAAGTCTTGAGAAGAGAAAGCCACAACTCAGGGGCAGCTGCAGCAGAAGGTCTCCAGCCCCTTCAAAGCACACCAGTGGAGAAATAATTCTTCCTGTTTCCTCAGAGAAACACTCCCAGTCAGGGTGGATGAGAGTTGGGGAACCTCTGGCCCTATGGAAGTTGCTGGACTCCAGCTCCCATTATCCCTGATCACTGGCCAGAGGAGGCTGATCAGTCAGGACAAATAGGCCAGTGGCCCACCAACCTCAATCTGTGTTCATCCAGCCTCCACTTGCCTGACTTCTTTCTTACAACCAGTCCAGGGCATGGACTGTCAACTTCCACATCCTTCTTAGCCTCAATATTGCCCTTGTAGAACTCAACAGAGAAGAGGAAGAGGATGGCCGCAAAAGCAGAACTACTTGGTTTTGCCTCTCATTGGCTCTGTCTCTTATTTGCTCGGGCTCCACCTACTGTTGGCCTCCCTAACTTCTGCCCCAGCAGCCCCAATGGGTGCCAGCTGCCACTGCCATTGCCCATGCCTGCTGGGGTTGCTGGGACTTGGAGTCCAACAGCATTTGGAAGGCCACAGGTTCTCCATCCATGGAGTAGGCAAGGGCCCATCTGCAAAAAGAGTCTTCTTGTATTAACAGAGGACCTGCTGCTCATTGGAAGAGTCCATATGTTATATACAGATGGTTCAAGGTTCAGTGAGGGACAGTAGAAGAGCTCCTACTTTGCATGCAGAAGGCCCCCATTCGGTCCCTGACATCTCCAGCTATGACTGGGAGAGAACCTGCCTGAAACCCGGAAGAGCTGCTACCAGTCAGTGTAGACAATATAGAGCTAGATGGGCCAATTTTCTTTATCAGTTTAGGCAGCTTCCTATATTCCCCTAGTGATCTTCCTTTTACCCATCCACATATGATGTATAATGCAAGGTTGTACATACATAAATACAGGAAAACCTGTAGCTTAAGTCAGTAGTTGAACACCCAGGTCGGGGCGGTAAAGACCCCTGCCTGAAACCCCTGAGAGCTGCTGCCAGTCAGCGCAGACAATACTGAGGTAGATGGGCCAATAATTTGACTCAAGTCGAAAGCAGCTTCCTAACAGCTTTACAGCCCCAGAGGCTGATCTCTCTGATCCATTAATTTGTGTATTTAGGCAGGGGAAAGGTGGCAGGTGGAAGTGAGCGCTGGCATGCCTGACATTGGTTGTCAGGCTCCGTGATGGCCTTGCTTGATTATTCCTCCCTTTCCTAGGTTTTCTCTGTCAAGAGGTCCAGCAGGCGCCAAGCGATGGCAGAACCTGAAAAAACGGTTGAGATTTAATAAGAGGCATTGCTTTGTGGAATGCACAATTCTTTAGCCACAGGATTGGCAGTTGCTGGAAAAGGACAGAGCAACTGGAATGGGGGGGGGGAAGCAAGCAGGAAAGGAACGGCCATCAACCCTCACTTAGCTAGGGAGGGGGCGAATGAAGCAACACGAGCAAGCCCAAGGCAAAATGGTAAGAATCAGGAAGAGGGTCTTGGGTGGTGAGAAAATGAAAGGCAATTTTGAGTGGCAGGACTTCAAGACAGGGTGCAGTTAAAGGCAAACCTACGGACCAAATTTGCACTTCCTGAAACAATATGCAAACTGAAACTCAGCCACCCTTCAAAATCCGCTCTTCTCCAAATTCTGCAATGCAGTTATTCAGCCAGCTACAAATATGCATAGACCAGGGTACATTGTGCATAAAAACGCATATGTTAGTAGAAAACAGCATGCAACAAAGTGTGTTAGATGAGGGGGAAATTGATTTGTCAAAATGTGTATATTAGGCAAATTTGCATTAATCAGCACTAAAATGCTGGTGAATTTTCATAGACTTTAAAGGGGGGGAAACAGCAGCAAGGTGATGTGTAGATGTGGAGAACTGAATTTGATAGCAAAAACAAGAAAGTGACAAAAATTGAAATTGACAGATTCACCCATGCCCCTTGAGTGACTGTGATCCATTTGGCTGGCATACTCACTCTGAATCTTTATTGGAAGAAGGGTGGGACGGAACAATTACCGTATTGACTTAAATACAGGCTGCACTTCCCACCACAAATTGGCTTGTAGGAAATCTGAGTGTGGCCTATATTTGAGGGCAACCTATATATAGGTCAATAGGGGATTTGAAGAAAAGAAAAAAAAACAGCTCCCCTCTCCCCCCCCTCCCATGGCTGTTTCAGTTGATCAATTGATTGACTAAATATCAGTCAGTTTGCCACACCACCAGCAGATGCATCTTTCTGTGATTTCAGTCTCTAGATCAAAGAGTTTTGAATCCCCAAATCTGTAGCATATTCCTCCTTGCTGGTTCCAGAGCCACCAGAAGCTTTGCATGATAAGTGGCCACCTCCCCTGCAATCAAAAGGCATGATTGACAAGTGTTGTCCTTTCTAGCCTTTTACCATGCAGCTCCGTGATTTGCATGCTGTTAACTTCCATTGGCTGCTGCGGGACAGCGAAAGAGATTCCAGCATGGAAAAGGCAACTAAGGTGCAGATCGTGATTGCTGGTACTTTGTCCACAGGTCTGGAACTTTGAGTCTAGAACAAAGATGCCCCTCTCCCAATGGGGGAAAAAATGAAAGCACATGCTCAAGACGGCTGCCACAATTGGGTGGAGTAGGAGGTGGAAACAGCCAGAGAAGAAGACTAGATCAAATGAACATGAAAACATAGGTTTTCAGGGGGCTTTCTGCAGGTAAAATCTAAGGCAAAATCGCAAGTGGGAACACCCAGCCAAATTGAAAACAGAGCAAAGAGGTATGGCTTTATGAGAAATTGTGGCTGGGCCCTTAGTTTATAGGGCTGAGTGAATTATCCTACTGTGTGGGTTGCTCTTATTTCCTTACCCAGCCCAGGAGGAGGACTTGTGAACCTTGATCTGCAACAGTAGGGCACCTGGTTGTGCGAAACTTTCCTACCTGAGTTGCTTGACCTCAGCAGAACATAACTGATCAAAATAAGATTTGTGGCGTCCCCTCCTAGTGGTGGTGCAGCAAGAAAAATGCCAGCACATTTGCAAAGCTAAGCAGGGTCCAATATGGTTTCAGATTGGATGGGGAACCATGTATTGAGATGGCTGCATTGCATGGGGTTGGACCAGATGACCCTCAGGGTGCCTCCCAACTCTACAAGTTTGTGGTCCTTCACGCAGAACAAGAGGAATGCTGTCTTATACAGAGGCAGACCAAAGGTCCACCTAGCTCAGTATTGTCTACACTGACTGGCAGCGGTTCTCCAAGCTTTAGACAGAGGACATTCCCAGCCCTACCTGCAGATGCCGAGAATTGAACCCATGACCGTCTGCATCCAAAGCAGATGCTGCACCCCTGAGCTACAGCCCTCCATCCACCATTTGCTCTTTTACCTGTTTGCTCTTTTACTATTGCAGCAAAACCATAAGTGAATGCGAGTCCTAAGTGACAGGAGCGTTCCATGTCAAAAGTCCAGCAACTGTAAAAACTCTCTCTGACCCCAAATCCCACAGGCAGGCAGGCAGGTTCTAACTTCCACTTCAAACCAAAATACCGATGTGGCTGTTCAGCTCCAACCACTTCACATTTATCCTAAGATACCCTATTGAACCTTATCTTCAGGTATACTCTGCAAGGAGCCATCCTGGCAGGATAGAATCATTATAGCTTCTGGGAGATCTGAGACCTTACATTGTATGGGGCCTCTCAAGTTCCAGCATAAAGGTTTCTCACTCAGGTAGGAAGCCAAACCTCTGACAAACTCCTAATGGGGTGCCTAGTAAAGAGGTGGCCAGGTTTTCAGAGCTCCTACCCATGATATTTGATGGATCCAGTTTAATTGCACCACTGTGAAAACATAGCCCACAGTCAGATAACTCCACTCCTCGACGCCTGAAACACCCTCCAGCCTAGTTGTTGATCTGCGATGGGATCTCTGGGCGTAACAAGGGGAGGGTGTGTTTGGGAGGCTGTTCCCTTTGTGTGCTTTGTGTGCAGAAGGCCTGAGGTTCAGTCCCCAATGGCATCTCCAGAAAGGTGTGGAAAAAATCCTTTCCAGGAACCCCGGAGAGAAGCTGCCAGTCAGTTCAGACAATAATGCGCTAGGACCAGATTCATTATAAGGTAGGGTTGCCGTATTTCAAAAAGTCCAGGCACAAAAGTTGTTGAGCTATTAAGCTTTTTTTTTGGCAAAGTTGTTGGGCTTCTTTTTTCTTTTCTTTTCTTTTTTTTTTTTTTGCAAAATCACCCCCCCCAAAAAAGTTTTTGAACTATTTTTTAAGGAAATTTGCCAAAAAATCAACACTTCCAACATGGGTTTGCTGATTTCCAGAAATTCCACCCGGATGCTATTTCCGACATGGCAACCCTATTATAAGGCACCTGCCTAGGTTCCTCAGTGCTAGTCCTACTCAGAATAGACCCATTGAAGTTCATGGGAATAACTAGCTTGGGCTCATTCATTTCAAAGGGTCTACTTTGAGTTGGGTGCTACCTAATGCCCCCCCCCAGCAAGGGACTGGGGTAGCCAGGGAATGCCTATCGAACTGCAGTGGCGGAACAAAGAGCTAATCTAGTTGGTTCCCGGGATCCAAATGAGGGGAATGATCTCCTAGAAGGAAATTAATAGAGCAGAAAATCCCAAATGGTGTGGCAATAATTTCTCAAGCTTAAGGAAGGCCTCCACGAGGCAAATTTGAGGGTGCAACTCGGCAAATTACCATCTCAGCCGGCGGAAGCCCCACCAAAGGGAAACTGACAAGCCAACAAATACTGTTTCCCCCTCCTGCCGAAGCCAGTCCTCAGCAGGGAAACACATGAAAGGACAGCAATAAAGCTGGGGTACATAATTAGTCAATGAAGGCGATTAAGCAGCCATGATTGTGTGTTGGTGTGAAATGACGGACAGCTGGAGGCAGCCAGCAGGGATTTGCTTTGCGGAAGGGCTGGGATGTTGGGTAAATTTCTCGCAAACAGAGTTGCCAACACAAAACTGAACGCAGCCTGGACAGGAACGGGAAATGGCCTGGACATCTCAATACCGCTTTGCGGTGATGAAAACGTTTCTGTTCTTTGCAGCTGTTCCCTTTGGTGGGCAGGGAGGGCTTGCCACCCGCTTGTTCAGGGAGACCAGCTTGACTCTGTCACGGGGCTGCTGAGAACTGCCAACCTTTGAGGTGGGCTGTGAAGAAAGCCGGCAATTTTTCTCAATATGCTTATCCGGAGCTGTCAGCCATTAGCCAGAGTGAGGTAGCTGCCTCAGGAGACAGATTCCGGGGGACGAAGAATGACTGGAAAATGCTAAGATGACAGAGATGACAGAACTGTGTGAGGCATGTGCTCTGAGCTCACTAAGCTAATCTGTTGCCATTGTGTGCGTTGGAGGAAACTCTCTGGTTGACAGTACAGTGGTACCTCGGGTTAAGAACTTAATTCGTTCCGGAGGTCCGTTCTTAAACTGAAACTGTTCTTAACCTGAAGCACCACTTAAGCTAATGGGGCCTCCCACTGCTGCCATGCCGCAGCTTCATGATTTCTGTTCTCATCCTGAAGCAAAGTTCTTAACCCAAGGTACTATTTCTGGGTTAGCGGAGTCTGTAAGCTGAAGCGTCTGTAACCTGAAGCTTCTGTAACCCGAGGTACCACTGTATTGCTGTAAAATGCAGCTCCAAGTCTTGGTGCAAACAGTGTGGATGCGATCTTGTCCTTTGTTCCAGGCACCAATTTTTGTACATCCCATGTAGAGCTGGAAATGCCCCCCATCTGAAACAAGGGATAATTCAGCATAGACAACACTGAGCTAGATGACCCAATGGTCTGACTCAGTACAAGGCAGTTTGCTTTATTTCTCAGATAAATGCCCTTCTGTTGAGCTCCAGACCTTGTTGGTGGAAGTTGCTCACTTCTGAGTGTCATGTCCTAAGTCCTAATCAGAGTAAAGGGATGCGGGTGGCACTGTGGTCTAAACCACTGAGTCTCTTGGGCTTGCCAATCAGAAGGTCAACAGTTTGAATCCCTGCAATGGGGTGAGCTCCCGTTGCTCTGTCCCAGCTCCTGTCAACCTAGCAGTTCGAAAGCACACCAGTGCAAGTAGATAAATAGGTACCACTGCGGCGGGAAGGTAAACGGCATTTCCCTGCGGTCTGGTTTCCATCACAGTGTTTCATGCACCAGAAGAGGTTTAGTCCTGCTGGCCACATGATCCAGAAAGCTGTGTGCGGACAAATGCCAACTCTCTCAGCCTGAAAGCAAGATGATCGCCACAACTCCATAGTAACCTTTGATTGGACTTAACCATCCTGGGGTCCTTTGCCTTTTTTACCTTTACCCTAATCAGAGTAGACCCATTGTAAATAAAGAACCTAAGTTTACTGTTCCCATTAAGTATCCTGCCATTGGAGTATTGGCAAGGAAAATTAAAATCCCAGGAGTGTTCTTGGAAAATCAACTCCTGCGAAGTTTCAGCAACATCTGTGCCTGGCCTCCTCCTGAGTGATAATATGTGTTGCTAGACACCAGGTGGCACCAGTAACAAAGTCTGGTATCGCTCAGCCGCTGAGACAGGGCAGGTTTGTTAAGGGAAGCCTGACAGACAGAGAGGTCCGGTTGCTTAGGAAGGCAGCGGACTCACTTTCTCTAGAGAGCTCCAAGGGAAGGTTAGGCAGGCATCCACGAAGGATGCTTTCGAAATAAGACGACCTGTCTTCCGGGAGGTGGCTAGATGTGAGGGGCAGAGGCAGCTGGGAGACGAGGTGAACAGTTGCAGCAATTTCACCTTGTCCGGGTGGAATTGTTTGTGTGTGTGATGTTCAGTTTTTGATGTGAAAAACTGACATTTTGAAAGGTTAAGAAACACCTCCCCACTCCTTCCTGCTATTTGGCTCTTTTATTTTTATGCCATTTGTTCTATTGACATTCTGGTGCTTCCAAATCACATTTTTGTTTTGTTATTTTATTTTATTTCATTGTTATTGAAAGGACATTGTCTTGCTACTCTTTCAGCCCCATTGGAATAAAAAATGGGTCCTCAAAGTGGTGCCCAGCACCCTCAGAATCCCCCCTCAGTGCCCACTGAGACACTCTGCCCCATGATTTGCTTTAGCTGAAGTATTGCTTTTTGTTCTTCGTTTGGGGTGGGTGAGGGGTCCTGCGTTTTTTGTCTGTGTTTTGAGTTGCGTAATATGTCTCTTGGGAGAAGGGAAAGCGATTTAGAGCACCACCACTTTTATTTCTGTGAAATGGGTATATTGTGGTGCCCAAGGCAACTTCTTAGATTTCCAAATCCTTCAGTCCCCATGAAACGGTTAGGGTGCTCCTGCAATAAGTTGATATGCTTTGTTATTTACTGCACTTTTAAATATTTTTCAAGCTCACTGCACACTAGTAGCCTATCTACTGTAGATTTCCCAAGCACAGAAGTCACGCAAGCAGAAAGTAATGTTCATTTCCCTCTTTTTAAGGGTTTTGTTTGTGTGTGGAGACTTGCCATTGTTTGTTTTTAAAATAAAAGTCATAAAACTCCAACTGGGGTGAGGTGATATCAGTTTAGGGTTAACTTTTTTTATGGATGCAGAGTGAGAAATATCATGGTGTTTACTTCCCAAGATACAGTGAAGGAGATGGGGACCAGGATTTGGAGGAAGATTCCAAAAGCTTCTTTTTTTCATTGTCAAAGGAGGCAAGTGTGGAGATGTTATCCTGATGTGCAATGACCAACTCTGCTTGGGGTTAAACTGACCAAAACCTTAGTCCACACAACCAATTTATTTAAGTATTCAGTGTATCCTGTGGAGCACAATGAGGCTTACTCCCTAGTAAAGTGTGCATAGGCTTGCAGCTGCAGTTTCAGGCTCTTCCCTTCAGTAGAAGAAACAGACAGAAAAGCCTGCTGGATCAGGTCCATGGCCCATCTGCTCCAGCATCCTGTTCTCACAGTGGCCAACCAGATACCTCTGGGAAACCCCCAAACAGGCCAGAGCTATCAGTAGACTCAGGACCTGATTGTCACTTGTGTCAGCTGTATCAAAGAGTTGGAATGGGTCTTATGGGCCATTTAGTACAACTCCAAAGCTAGAGCATCTGTGGCAGATGACATTCTGGACCAGTTGGGTCCTTGGATGTTGTTGGACTACAACTCCCATCATCCCCAGCCGTTAAGGATGATGGGCATTGTAGTCCAATGACATCTGGGGGACTCAGGGTTGAGGAAGTTCTACCTTCAAGGCAATTTGCTATGTTGTTTAATGGCTCTTACTGTTGAAGTTGTTTTCCTAATGCCCGGCTGAAGTCTACCTTCCTGTAACTGAAATCCCATGAAACCTAGCCCTGTCTTCTATAGCAGCTGTGAATAACTCTTTGCCTTCAACACT